GCTGGTGTAGCCCGGAGCGGGACACTCTCTCAGTGCCATGGTGTGAGCTGGTGTAGCCCGGAGCGGGACACTCTCTCAGTGCCATGGTGTGAGCTGGTGTAGCCCGGAGCAGGACACTCTCTCAGTGCCATGGTGTGTGCTGGTGTAGCCCGGAGCGGGACACTCTCTCAGTGTCATGGTGTGGCTGGGACGTCCGGAGCGGGACACTCTCTCAGTGCTGTGGTGTGGCTGGGAAGTCCGGAGCGGGACACTCTCTCAGTGCCATAGTGTGGCTGGGAAGTCCGGAGCCGGTCTGTGATGACGGTATGCTGTAGCAGCAGAGAAGGAAAAGTTGGACTCCCTTTAAATTATTTCTTTCATTTTATTCTGTGAATGGCGCCCATGTATGGGCAACAGTTCACACTTTTCATTGTATTTTATATTGAACGCACATGACAATGAAAGGATTTTCTAAAAATAATGGATGTTCCAATATTAAGTCCACATGGTGCACCCTCCACTCTTCATATCAGCTCAGTGAAGAGTTATGTACACTTGAAACGTTAGCTTACTCTCTCTCCATCGATGCTGCCTGACCCACTGTGATTTCTAGCATTTTTTGTCATCTTGTATAAGTTCATCATAGCCTGCTTACTCTTATACCTATGCTCCTGTTAATGAAGTCTAGAATATTGTACATTTTATAACAGCTGTCTATCTGTCCTTCCAGCTTTAATGATGTTTTAATGACATATCCAGGACTAGTCAGACTAGATGCAGAAAGGGTGTTTTGACTAGAACCAGGCTCAGGATAAAACATACAAGGAAACATTCCATCACTCGAAGAGTGGTGAACCTGCGGAATTTGCTACCATAGAGGGCTGTACAGGCCAAGTCATAGAATATATTCAAGAAAGAGATTGATAAATGTTTAGATATTAAAGGGTACAGGGGGAAAGGGGGAATATAGCATTGTGATGGAGGATCAGCCATGATTGTATTGAATGGTGAAATAGACTTGAAGGACCAAATGACCTGCTGCCCTTCCTGTTCTTTTTATTTCTACACACAGGTCTCTCTGCTGCTGTGTAGCCTTTTGATTTGTACCTGTTTGTTATTCCCTCTCTCCATGTTCTTTGTAGTATTGTGCATCTGTTCATACTTCTCCACATTGATTCACATTTGTCACCTATCTGTCCACTCCACCAATAACTCAACGTCCTTTTGAAATTCTGTACCATCCTCCTCAGTTTATAATTCACCCACATCTAGTGTTTTCTGCAAACTTTGAAAATGTCCTCTCAAGCCAACATTTAGATCATTTCGAGACAGAAGGAAAAACAAGGGTCTCAAGACCAACCTCTGAGGAATTCCTCTCTGTAAAACTTCCTCCAGCCAAAAAATACACATTGGCCTTCACTCTGTTTCCTATCACTCAGCCAATTTTGTATCTACACTGCTACCCTCTCTTTTATTTCATGGCCTATAATTTTCCTCATAAGTCTGTTGTGTGGAACTGTATCAAAAGCCTTTTAGCAGTCCACATCAATAGCATTATCCTCATTAACCCTCACTGTTATCACTTTAAGAAGTTCGACAAGTTAGTTTGTTATGAACCAGACAAGATGCCCTCAAAATATTTTAAGAAGGTAGCCTAGACCTAACTTTTTCTTATTTTAAAGGCAAATGTAACATGCTGTGTTCCAGATTCAATGCGACTGTCAAACTACTCAACGTCAAGCAAAACACAATTTATTCAAACACTGTAGTTGAAATTCAACAAAAGAAAGAAGAACTTGGAATAACAACTCTATTGGAAAACTTAACAGAATAATAGACACGGTAGCGATTACTAATTAACTGTTCCAATATACTAACATTCCGTAAACATACCCCTTGGCAAGAAGGCAAATTCAGAAATCCGATTTTCTCACATGCAATCCAGCAGCAAAGAGAGAGAGAAAGAGAGAGAATATCAAGTGAAAACTCAGGAGACCTTTACTGCAACAGCAACTGATGCTGAAACTCATAAAAACTAGAAACCTTGGTCTGTGAGAGCTGGCCACACCCAGCCAGGCTGCTTCTATTGTTACAACTCTTTTATAGAAACCCCAAGGCCTCACAAGCTGTTTATTCCAACTAGACAGTACAGCGCCTCTGCCTTAAAACCTCTCCTTAAAGAAAAAGGATAAATTAATCTCTTCAATTCACAGCATTCTCCCAAGTTAAACATGATTTTGCCTTAATGAATCCATGCTGACTCTTCAAATCAATGCGGTTTATTTCCGTGCGACTATTAATTCTATCCTATAGAGCTTCCCCTACCATCAAAGTTAACCTGACTGGTCTGTAATTGTTGTGCGTACCTATACAACCTCTTTTAACAAGGACGTTCTAATGATTGTAACAAGGTCAGCCTGGTGGACCTCACAGAATATGAGTTCTCTGAAGGGGGCTGTTAATCTGGTCCAGTCAGAGAGCTGTGACCGACAAATAAGTATAGGCATGTCAGACATCCTGTTCACTCTGAGAGCTGGCTCTGAGGGAGCTGGATCAGTGTCAAGGACTCTCCACGTGTAAATAAAGGGGGACTCGATAAGGGAATACCTGCCTCTGTTTCAGTTGTAATGTTTACGAGTCTCCAATCCTCCAGTAGTACCTCTGAAATCAGAGGAAAATGAAAGATTATTGCAGGTGAGTTCTTTATTGTTTCATCGGATGTAGGCATGCTGGCAATGCCAATATTTGTTTCCCATCCCTATTTGCCCTTGAACTGAGTGGCTTGCTGGGTCATTTTAGCTAAGGGTAGTTACAAGTCAACCACATCGCTGTGGATCTGGAGTTACACGTTAGCCAGATCAGGTAAAGATGCCATGCTTCCTTCCTTGAAGGGTATTTGTGAACCTGTGGTGTTTTCATAACAATGAACAATAGTATTGTAGTCATCGTTAGCTTACAATTCGAATGTATTATTTTGATGTTAAATCCCAGCTGCCAGAATGGGGATTAAGCCCATATCACTGGAACATTGGGCCTAAGCTGCTACCTTTTTCGGTTAAATGTTCCCCCCTTTTGACAACACATCTATTTTTGCAGTAAAATCTGCATCTTTTTTTAAAAATATAGTCACATGAAATGTTTATGTGATCAATCACATCTGCCATGATGGTGGTAGATGATTTGGGAAGGTTTGCATCATTGATGTAGTTTCGGAATTCCAGTAAAGGGAAAAAAAAATCATCCTTTTTAGAGCCCGATAATACTTTTCAAAATAATGGAAGGTGGATGAGAGTGTGGTCAAGTTCACAAGTACACACGTGAGTTTAGAGGGTGATATGCATTCTTAAACTCTTGTCCTTGCAATTTGTGTCATCTGAACCACTCTGTGTCAGTTCTGTAGGTCAGCAGGTCTTTTGAGTAATTTTATAAGTGTCAATTAAGCAAAACAACTGACCTCTTAATGAGTCAGCAGTTGTGTATAACTTCTGGTTTAAAAAAAACTGAGTTAGTGTCACATCTGATTCTTCAATTTAGCTCTGCCAGTGTTTTGCACAGATCGTTGTATCTGTTAACTTTTCAGCAGGACTCTTAGAGAATTGCAGGGCTTCCCAGTAATGCAACCACTAATTCCTTCACATTTCAGCTTTCGCTAGATCCCAGAATAGCCGGATTTGAAAGAAGCAAACGTAATCCCAGTGTTCAAAAAGGGAGAGGGTAATGGGAGAACTGTAGGCCATATAGCCCAACATCAGTGGTAGCTAGCGATGAGGTAATAGAACAATTAAAGTATGGACTGCAGTGGTTCAAGAAAGTAGCTCACCGCCACCTTACCAAGGGCAACTAAGGACGGATGATAAATGCTGGTCCAGCTGGCAATGCCCACGTACCACAAGTAAATTTAAAAAACTATCATAATGCAGTCAGCACATATTTATAAAAGAGATAATTGTGTTTGAATGATCTGTTAGTAGCTCTAATTGGGAGGGTAGGGGAACCAATAGATGAAGTGTGTTTAGATTTTTAAAAAACATTCACAAATATGCTCTACAGGAGGTTATTATGCGATATTAGGGCTTGTAGGAGTTCAGGGTAATAAATCAGCATGGATTGAAGATTGGTTAAAAAACAGAAAACAGAAGCAGGAGTAAATAGAGTTAACACAGTGTGGAGCTGGAGGAACACAGCAGGCCAGGCAGCATCAGAGGTGCTACTCCTGATGTGTTCCTTCAGATACACACTGTGTTATCTCTGACTCCAGAATCAGCAGTTCTTACTATCTCTACAGGAGTAAATAGAGCTTTTTTTGTGTGTTTTCAGTCTACAATGAGCTAGGTACAGCAAGGATCGGTACTGGGCCTCTGCTGTTTACGATATTCATGATTGACTTTGATGAAGAACAGGAGTATAATGTGTCCCAAGTTTGCAAATGCAATTAAAAAGCCAGTTGGAAAATTAAGTTTTGAAGAGAGCACAAAGAGACTGCATAGAGATGTAGACAGGCTAAGCAAACAAGCAAAAATGTCACAGAGGATGGTATGATGAAGTGTGAAGTCATCACTTTTGAAGAAAAATAGAAAAGCAGGATAATTTTTGAACGGTGAGAGAAATGCAAAGTGTTCTTGAGAGCGACCTCTGTGTTGATGAATAGGAATCACAAGGTTAGCATGCTGGTGTAGCAAGCAGTTGGGAAAAGAAGTAGTCTGTTAGCCATTATGACAAAGGAGTAAAGAAGTCTAAGCTGAAGTTTAGAAGACTGAGAGGTAATGTCATGGAAATATTGCTGTAATTCTTAAAGGATTTAATAGCATAAATGCTAGGATCTCGGAGGACGAAGAACTGGAGAGTTACCCTCTCAGAGTAAGAAGTCAGGGCTCAGATTATGAGAATTCTTTTGAGGATCTTTCGAATTCTCATCCCCAAAGTGCTGTCAGTGTAATAATACAAGGATTGATAGATTCTTAGATACCAAAGGAGTTGAGGAATATTGGGGACAGCAAAGGAATCCAAGTTGAAGTGGAAGATCAGTTCCGATTAGATTGAATGGCAAGGCAGGCTCGAAGGGCCAAAAGCCCTATTGCTGCTTGTGTTTCTTGTGCTTTTATGTTGGGAAAATGGCAACATCCCTGTGGTGTTACCACACTGGCATGATGCCCAGTGGATTCGGCTTGGGAAAAAACAGAGAACTAATTTTTCAAGTCGAGTGACCCTTCTTCAAAACAGAATTGATCCTTAGCCATGTTTGGACATTTATGGATCAGTTTTGATAATTACAGTATTAAGCCTAAAGCATTCCACCTCCAAAATATTGTAAGTTTTCTCATTGCTATATCATTCCCTATTATTTTTCTAGGTGCAACTGGTATTGAAGACCGTTTGCAGGATGGCGTTCCCGAAACAATCTCAAATTTACGAAGAGCTGCTTTACAGATATGGGTTCTGACTGGGGACAAACAGGAAACAGCAGTCAATATTGCTTATGCCTGCAAGCTCCTGGGTCACGATGAGGAGATTCTCACCTTGAATGCTGAATCGCAGGTGAGCACTATTTCACCTGCAAAATCTGCAGCCTCTGTACAGCTTTTATCCAACTGACACCATTCTCGTAACCTGAAAAACCATGAAAGCAAATGTCTCATCCATTTATTATAAACGCTCCAGTTTAGCAGGATTGTAATTTATATTTTTAACCATCTCTTCCTGAGAGCATTCGCAATGTTTTCACCATAACAGGAGAAAAAGATGAATGGGAGAGGTAGCCGTAAATATTGGAAACCTGTCCGATTCTCATCGATCCTATCAATTCTAGCTTACAAGTCTCAGAATCTGTGGGGTATCGGTCTAATGAAGGCTGTAAAGTAAAGGCTGCCTGAATGCTGAGAAGGTTTTCTTTTGCAGATAGTAAGCATGATTCCTGCCTTGCAATTATTTCATTTTGAGGTTAAGATCTTGGCAGCTAAAGGTGCAAGTTTATTTAGGAAGCAGCATTTGGATTAGTATTTGGTGGGATTAAATCACCAGTGAACACTTCATGGAATGCTTAGTGCTCAGTAAATAAATTTGCGAGATCTAAATTCGTTGGTCTTGATGGACAGCATACATGAAGATGTGTACAGATCCATGCTGTAAACAGAAAATCAAAAAGCACTTTTTGGTTTGAATAAGTGGAGCATTAATTACCTGCTTATAATAGAGGGGACTCTACTTTTTCTATCATCCTGTGGATAATCAGCGACCAAAGGCAAGACCCAAAGCGCATAAGCCTGAAATTATAGTGCAACAATTAAGTGTTTTAATCTGATTCAAAATCACAACTCCCATTGACCCTATGTAGATAACAGAAGAGTGAATAGTCAAGGTGTTATTGTAAGTTCCAGCAGAAGGAACCTCCGTGTGCAGGACCTAAAATATTGAGCATCTTTTCACAACAGCATTCGCCAAGGATTTCAGAATAAATAAATCTGACAAATGTTTCTTCAGCTATCTGTCACTGATCTACAAACTTCTGTGAAACCATACGGGGAAGGCTTTGACAAATCTTGAATTTTTTTTTACCGTTGGCTCCAATATCAAAACGCTTCGCAGCCAAAATGTAAGGTATTGGGAACCCAAAAGAGATCAAGAGAAATTATTCTTGTTGGTCTTAAAACAGGGAATTAAAAGCAGCAGGCAAATCTGTTCTCGTTGAAAAGCACCCAGTTAGCCATGTGTGATTCTTACACAATGTTCTAAGAACAAAATGAATGAATAAATGGTGAAAAGATAGTGATGCTAAATCAGGAGATGATAGCTGTTTTGTACAATTAAACTCCAAGGTAGCCTCCAACTTAAATGTGACATGAAGTGTCAGTAACATAAATATTGTTTGTAAACTACGAGATAGACCACTAGTTTAACGTGTTCTTTAAAATAAAGAGGTGCTTAAATTTGTGACTGAAATCAAATAATGAGCAATTCTTCCTGTACATAGACCTAAGGAATCAAGTGATTTTAAGAAGTTGAATAGATTTTTCTTCATCCAGTTGCACCTATTTTCAGTCCCGTCTGTTGCAAAAAGTAATGGCCATGTCACAGTTCCATACAGCTGCTCTCTCGTTACAGAGGGATGCCTGGTGGTGAGTTTAAGCTGAGGGTCACTACACCTCAGGCGAGGGGTGAGGTTGATAAGATGGGACATTCAGCTTGAACCCACACAGTTGGCGTCACTCTGCATCACATACCAGCCATCCAGCCAACTGAGCTAACTGACCCCCATTCTTCCTGTTGTAGATTGCTGTTGATTGTGCAAACCTGCAAACATGGAGCCTTTATTTATCACTGTGATAAGGGTTGGTTGCGGGGGTGGGGGGCACAGATGGAAGCTAATTACATTCTCGTAATCAGTCCGTACTCAGTTGTGAAGAATTCCTAGATAGAATAAGATGATAAAGTCCATTAGAAATTGGAACAGAATATACCCCTCAGGCCTGTTCTACCATTCAATGGAATCGTGACTCAATCAACATTCCTCACATCCACTTTCCTGCATTTTCCCCACAGCCCTCGATTCCCCTACTGTTCAAGAATCTATTTATCTCAGTCATAAATCTACATAAGGACACTTGCCCCATAGTTCTTTGTGCCAAGGAATTCCAAAGACACTCAACCCTCTGAGAGAAGAAATTCTCCCTCATCTCAGTCTTAAATTGACATCCCTTTATTCTGAAACTATGCCGTGTTGTGCAAGACTCTCCCATGAGGAGAAGCAACCTCTCAGCGTTTACCCTGTCAACTTCCTTAAGAATCCTATATGTTTCAAAGAGATCACCTTTTTAAAAGAGAAGAGGACATTTCAATATTTCTGAACTCAGTACAGAAGCTGACAGACAGGGGGGAAAGGTACCCTTGTCATTATCTTTGCTATGTGTCTGGTTATTCACTTGTCTAATCACATTAATATCTTTCAACAGGAAGCCTGTGCTGCTTTGCTGGAACAGTGCTTGAACTACATTGAATCAAAGAGTCCTCAGAACAATCGGTTCAATGTGGCTCAAAATACATCAGTTGACTTTATCCCTTCAAATAGGACTTCAGTGAGCTCTCCCACCCTGCGAGCCAACTTCAGCTTGGTCATCGATGGAAAGACTCTAACCTTTGCGTTGGAAAAGACATTAGAGGACAAATTTCTTGCATTGGCTCAAAGTTGCCGCTCGGTGTTATGCTGTCGCTCGACGCCATTACAGAAAAGCATGGTGGTTAAACTGGTCCGAGATAAGCTAAAAGTTATGACCTTGGCAATAGGCAAGTGCACATTTATTTCCATCAGCATGCTGTTATGTATTGGGTCACTACACACTGTCTAAATATCATTTCAAATATCTCCATTTCGAAGATCAAGATATTAAAGCATGAACCAAAGAAGCTCTATTTCCAATATATACTGAGGTTGAAATCTAATTAAGCAAGGAAGATGAGTATCAAAACAGAACTTGCTGAAACCATTCAGGCAGTCTCTGTGGAGAGAAACAGAGTCAATGTTTCTGCTCTGACAATTGCTGGAGAAACTCAGCAGGTCTGGCAGCATCAGTGGAGAGAAAGCAGAGTTAGCGTCTTGAGTCCCATGACCTTTCTTCCCCCTCAAGCTCTGTGTACAGAAGTACTTATCGACATTTCTCATGAATAGCATGGCTTTTCCTTTTAATTTCAGCTCTGGACTGAAGGAAATAATTTCTCCCTACTTATCTTGTCAAAACCTTTAATCATCAATTTGGCAGCCCATAATGCTCCATACTGAATGGAGCACAAGTCTCCTCCATGCAGTCTCCTCTCGTAATATAACGCTTTTATCCCCAGTATCATTTTGGATCCGATAGGTACCAGAAAGGATGTACGTTTTGTGTTTACAACGCAGGTCCTGTAACCTGAAGGGAGGGACAGAGCACAGAGTGTTCAGAAAGTTCCACATTTCACAGCCAAAATAATTGCATTGAAAGGGAGAGCAGGAGCTCTTCAAAGCTATTAACTGTATGATGTATCCTAATAATGGGGGAGGCGATGGCCTAGTGGTATTATCGCTAGACTGTTAATCCAGAGACCCAGATAATGTTCTGGGGACCCAGGTTCAAATTCCGCCACAGCAAGATGGTGGAATTTGAATTCAATGAATATCTGGAATTAAGAATCTAATGATGACTGTGAGTCCATTGTCAATTGTTGGAAAAACCCATCTGGTTCACTAATGTCCCTTAGGGAAAGAACCCACCATCCTTACCTGGTCTGGCCTACATGTGATTCCAAATCCACAGTAATGTGGTTGACTCTTAACTGCCCTCTGGTCAATTAGGGATGGGCAATAAATGTTGCCTAGCCAGCGACACCCTCATCCCGTGAATGAATAATTTTTTAAAAATCTTGCAGTCTGCAGAGGCCCCTATGTATGCAGGGAGTTAGAAGTTACTAGCATTGGGCCTTTGCAAAATCCGTCAAGAAGTGAGCTGTGCTTCTGTAACAAAGAAAATCAGCTAAGTTATCCACCACTTCTGTGGTACCATTGCTTCGGTGTATTGCACTTGGTTTTCTGTCGGTGAACTTGAAGTCATCACTCAGCTTAATTGTGACTGGCTGGCACAAAGGTGGCAAGGCAACACATTATTACTGCTTGTTTCCTCATTAACTGCAGGAGATGGGGCTAATGATGTGAGCATGATCCAGGTTGCTGATGTTGGAGTGGGAATCTCTGGCCAGGAAGGAATGCAGGTAATTGTACTGTCATCGCATTTCCTGTCACTGTTTCCATAAATACGCAAATGATTCGATGCCATGTGTTTCGGTAGATTGATGGAGTGGCAAGAGAACCTTTGAAGGTGCCTCTGTCAGTGCTGATATAAATATCCTGCTTTAGACAGTGTGTTATAGTGTCCTTTCTCCCTGTTCTTGAAAGTACTGACACACTATTCTGTAAACACCAGCAGTACTTCCATTACTCTGCCCCAGGGACAGCTTGCATTTATATAGCATCTTTTTCAAAGCATACCTGTGGGGGTTCACAGGAATACTGTTAGGGGGTGAAATTTGACATTGAATCACATGGGATATTAAGTCAGTGACTCAAATCCAGGCGAGAGTGGTGGCTTTTATCAATGGGGATGGGGACAGAAAGGTTTTGGAAGGGAATTAAGACCTGAGGGCTGTAACAGCTAATAACACACTCACCAGCAGTCCATGTATGTGTATAGCCTTGAACAAAAATGAGTTATTTAACAATGGGATATGTCATAGCCAAATGTATCTTCATCCATGTCACACAGTTTTCAGACTGCTTGCTCAACTCCTGCATAGCCCAGGGACAATGAAGTCAATTTTAACGTGCTTTCTGCTACCTTGAGTCAGGGAACCAGATCTGAAACCTGTTGGTCAATACAGTTCAAGTCCATTCTGAATAGCGCATTTATCAACCATTGACAATTTGTTAGGACAGCTGCACGTCCAATTATTTTTTATATCAGGTCAGATCTAAGTAGGCTCTGCTTGCCACAGCAACTGATGTTTATTAATGTGCCCTTCATTTCCACGTTTATTCACTAAAAGATTCTCATCTGTTAGAAATAATTAAGGCTCAATGTGTACACCTAGGAGTTCTTCATGCATCTACCCATTGACAGTTTAATGAACGTGTCAGAATTTAAATATGATTTCATTAAGTGGCAGGAGGTCAGACTGCATGCCATGATATTTCAGCACCAGAAAGCTACAGTGTCAGTATGTGAGTCATTTTGTAACAAGTGTGGATTTTATCTGCCTAATGCCCAGCTTTTTTTTGTGACTTGAGCAAATTTTTAAAAATAAATTGTCGTAAATTTGAACCCAAGATCCTCCCAGTACCATTTTACAAGCAGGTCTGGACTTAAGTGATAACAAAGTGTGGAGCTGGAGGAACACAGCAGGCAGGCAGCATCACAGCAACAGGAAAGCTGACCCTTCTTCAGAAAATATTTTCTAAAGAAGGGTCAGCTTTCCTGTTCCTCTGATGCTGCCTGGCCTGCTGTGTTCCTCCGACACCACATTTTGTTATTTCTGACTCCAGCCTCTGCAATCAGGGAGGTGATGGCCTAGTGGTATTATCGTTGGTCTGTTAATCCAGAGACCCAGGTAATGTTCTGGGGACCCGGGTTGAATCCCGCCATGGCAGATGGTGGAATTTGAATTCAACAAAATATCTGGAATTAAGAATCTAATGATGACCATGAATTCATTGTTGGAAAAACCCACCAGGTTCACTAATGTCCTTTAGAGAAGGAAACTGCCATCCTTACCTGGTCTGGCCTACATATGACTCCAGACCCACAGCAATGCGGTTGACTCTGGGCAATTAGAGATGGGCAATAAATGTTGCCTAGCCAGCAATGCCCTCATCCTGTGAATGAATAAAGAATAAAGGAGTTACTGCTATCTCTGGATTTAAGTGGTTAGTTTTACAGCTCCAAAATAGACAGGAGTCTCCTAAAGACTGAGTAGAGGTTGAAGGGCCAGAAATGAGAGCAAGCAACTTTTCCAAATGTGTCATAGCACCAATCCCCCTTGGACTGTCCCCAGGCTTGACTCCCTCGCCTTTTACCAACGCAATTCAGCTTTATTGAGGAGCCACCAGATTTCCATTTTTCTCTCCCTCCTTGCCCCAGTCAGCAATGTATCATCAGCACCAGTTCAGTCGAGCACTGGCTGTGTTCGGAAATGAAGTCCAGTTATGGGCCACATATTGTCCTTCAATTTTTGAAGACAAAACAAGTCGCAGGGATCGCGCTGGGGGGTGTAACTAAATGGATTGCTTTTCACAAGAGACAGCCCAAAATCGATGGGCCAAATAACTAACCAGTTTTCATACCCAGTGGCTAACAACACCCTAGGACAGTGAAGTCAATTATAACCTGCTTTCTGCCACCCTGACTCAGATCAAGTTGTTCCTTGAGGCAAAGGACCACATCTGGATTTTGGTCAATAGCGTTCAAGACATTACTGGACAATGCTTTTAGCAACAATTCGCAATGGTTATACTACGTATTGGGCCTTAAGTATTCAGATTTTGGAAGAACGTGACGTGGTTTTATTGAGACAGAATTCTGGAGTGGCTTGCCAGGGTAGATGCTGAGAGGATGTTTCCCCTAGTCTGAGGCAATTGAGAACTGGGAGCACAGTTTAAAAATAACATGTCTCCCTTTAAGACAAAGAGCAGTAGAGGCTGGGTCCTTGAACGTACTGCGTTGTAATTTTTGATTCACCAGGGTGTTAGTGGTTCTGGGGAAGTGGATAGGAAAATGAAGCTGAGGCCAAGATCAGATCAGCCCCAATGGGCTTGAATAGTGGAACAGACTCAAGGTGCAGACTGGCTTAATCCTGCTCCTGCTCCTTATGTTTTCATTCTATATCAACTGTTGATTTGTGTGGTTAACCTGTTTCAGGTTTGTGACATTTCTGCCTTCTATGTTTCAGAGCTTTTCTTGTCTATAAATTTACAGCTCCCACCCCTGCACTGTTAACTGACAAGTATGTGAAAGACTTATTCCTGCTCTTCATCATCACGATGTTGTCTTTTGGTGACAACTTTCTATGCAGAAATCGGGTCCTTCCTGCCCCCACCTCTTCCCCTGCACCATCTCTATATTTAGAAACTGTGGAACTGTCAACCAGTTATAGGTGAGCTGAAGTCTCATGTACTTAAACATTAGGAGACTGTCATCTTTGTCCCTTATCAAGCTTGGTGCTCCTGTCACCAAATCCATACCCCTCCCCCAGCCACTGTCCCAGGTGGAACCAAACTTGTTTGCAGCCTTGGTGTCTGCCCAAATTGCTCTGCCTCAGTGTATCTGCCACTGAAATGCTCATCAATGCCTTTATGATCCCTTAGCTCGACTCATTTCATTCTCTCGTGGCCAAGTCCCCAGTGTCTGTTAATATCTTGCAGCCTGTTATACATGCTGCTTGACCATCATTCCCATCCTTACTGACCTCTGTTAGCTTTCAGCCAGCTTTCCACCTCTAGCCAAAATCTTAAATGCACGCCTTAAAGCAGTCATGACCTCATCCTATGTCAATAACCCCCTACAGCCTTACCCTCTATTCCTTTCGTTTGACCTTATGTCATGCTTTGCCTTCTTCCTTCACTCCACACGCTTAGCTCCCTGAGACTTCCATTTCGGAATGTCTTACTCACTGATTTCAAAAGGAAGTGGAATGCTTGATGAAAGGAAGCAAGCTTGAGGCAGAACGGGATGGGCACATTAAACTAGATCGAGACATCATGGAAAACGATGGGCCAATGACCTCCTCCTGTGCTGTTTTGACTCTAAACCTTCCATTCGTTTGTAGGACATTTCATTTAAACCCATCTCATTGACCACACTCCTCTTTCTTGTTGTTCAGTCTTCTTCTCTATGAAGCATCGTGGAGCATGGGCTGTGTGTTCATGGTGATACTTAAGTGTAAGCTGTTGCTGTTTGTTGCTTCTTGTTGAATAGTATGTTTTTTTTACAAAGGAATAGTAAATGGAGATCTGGTAGTGTCACTTGTGCAATTATTTTCTTCTCTTTTATTTCAGGCAGTAATGGCAAGTGACTTTGCCATTGCACGGTTTCGACATTTGCAAAAGCTGTTGCTGGTTCATGGGCATTGGTGTTACTCCAGGCTTGCCAACACGGTGCTCTATTTCTTCTATAAAAATGCAGTAAGTTATTTGCTGTCACCTCTTTTGGACAGAATTTCGCATTTCGCTATCTCATAGTACGTTGGCGTCATTTGCTGAGCCAGTATTAATTGCTCATCCCTATTTTCCCTTTCGAAAGTGGTGTCGAACAACCTTCTTGAACTACTATAATATAGTAGTCTACAATCCAATGGTCTCAATGTGGACTTTACTAGCTTCAAAATCTCCCCACCCTCGACCTCATCCCAAGACCAGCCTCCCCCTCTCATCCCCACCTCCTTGACCTGTCCGTCTTCTCTCCCACCCATCCACTCCACTATGTACCTGCTATCACAGCCCCCCACCTCTCTATTTATTTCAGAGCCCCCTTCCCCTCCCCCATTTCTGAAGAAGGGTCCCGACACGAAACGTCAGCCTTCCTGCTCCTCTGATGCTGCCTGGCCTGCTGTGTTCATCCAGCTCTACATCTTGTTATCTCAGATTCTCCAGCATCGGCAGTTCTTACTATCTCCTTCTTGAACTACTGTTGCCGTTGAAATGTAGAGACACCTGTTAGAACTGTTAGGGAGGGACTTCCAGAATTTTGACCCAGTGACAGTGAAGGAATTGCAATATATTTCCAAGTCAAGTGACTTGAAGGGGAACTTCTAGGTCATGATGATCCCATGCATCTGCTGCCCTTATCCTTCTACACAGTAGAGGCCACAACTTTGCCCAAGGAGCCTTGGTGAGTTGCTGCAGTCCATTTTGTAGATGGCGCATGCTGCTGCCACTGTGACTTAGTGCTGGAGTGGCCGATGCGGTCTCAGTCAAGCGAGCTGCTTCACCCTGGATGGTGCCAAGCTTCTTGAGGGTTGTTGGAGCTGTACTCATCCAGGCAAGTGGGGAGTATTCAACATGTCAGTCTGAAACTAGCTAAAAAGGAGGGGCCGGATTGATGAGTTGGAATAACAGCAGTGAAATGGCTACAAAAGAGAGCCAGCAAAAGCACCTACAATGTGTCAGTTTCATTGGCCAGTCAGTCATATTGTAGCTTTGGGTATATGCATTATAGAAATAAATTTGATTCTAGAATGTGACTCACTGTACTAGCACTGACATGCTAACAGACCTACGATGCTGCATTCAGACATTTCACCAAACACCCAACAAGAAATCTGCTTAAAGCTACAATATCAGAGACAAAAAAACTGCAGATGCTGGAATCCAAGGTAGACAAACAGTAGGTTGGAAGAACACAGCCCGCCAGGCAGCATCCAGAGGAAAGGAGCAGTCAACGTTTCTTCAGTCCTGGAGAAGAGTAAAACGTTGACAGCTCATTTCCTCCAGATGCTGCCTGGCGGGCTGTGTTCTTCCAGCCTCCTGTTTGTCCACCTTGGATTCCAGCATCTGCAGTTTTTTTGTCTCTAATATTGTAACTTTAAGCAGATTCCAGTTGGGTGTTTGGTGAAATGCCTGAATGCAGCATCGTAGGTCTGTTAGCATGTCAGTGGTAGCGCTGTGAGTCACATTCTGGAATCAAGTTTATTTCTATAATGCATATATGTTTGATTGCAACACTGCACTATTCCATTTTAAAACATACCACAATTTTTATCTGCAGTGATTACTTTGTGTGTTTTGCTTCAGTCATTTGCTCACGAACATGTTTAATTAGTCACCCTGTGTGCACAATATGTACTGTGGCTAATGGGAGTAATTAAATCACACATAGACCTGTCTGGTTAATATCATTGGGTTCACAAGAGAAAGTACCAGAAGCTATTAGAGATGCACGGCAGGTGGATTAATATTCTCTGGATGTGAACTGATGGATGTTTTAGTCATAACCTTTCATCGGCGAAATTCCTTAAGCTCTAACCTGTTTTTCTCGCTCATGTTGATTGACTGTTTCTATTTTGATCCTGCTTTTGCTGCAATTATGCTGTATTTATGTGCACAAGAAGTTAATGTTTTATTCTTCAAGCCCCTAACGACAAAAACTGAGAGACTGAAAAATCTAAAGTAAGGGCACTAGTTCCCAATTTCACTTCTTCTAGTTTTCTCAGTCTTCTGGCAGCATGTGCAGAGCCCCTGTCTGACTGCTTTCATTTTCATCCTGATTTGGTGCCAAACCCATATTCCTGACCTTGCTGTTGAGTCTGGATTCAGTACATTTCATTCTGCAATGGCTCATCCAAGTTTCCTTCCACTTACTACGTGGCAACATGTTCCGTTAATCAACAATCCCAAAGTGAAGCTAATCTCCTCTAGCTGTCTTCAGCTGTGCTTTCTTTACTATGCAATTCAGTCCCATTGTCCCAGGCATTTTTCTGACCATGTGAGAGCCTGGCAGTTTTGTTCCAGAGTCATGAACTTTGAATTATATTGCCCATTTTAAAATTGAAGGAAGCAGCAGTAAAGCCAAGCAGTGTTACATGGGAACAGAGAAAGACTGCCTAGCTCCCTTGAGCCTATCCCTGTAATTGTGCCATATCTGTGACCAAGCTTCATATAACTGACTTTGCCCCATTTCCCTGAATAACTTTATGCTGTAGACAGTAAAAGAATGGCATATTATGAACTTTCAGGCAATGCTTTTTAAAGTTGGGCACAAACAAGCTGTTAAAATGCCTGTTGTAAATCATGTGAACCTTGGCATTGAGCTGTGGACAGTATCCCAGTACTCTGGTGAACATCAGTTGGCTACAATACAGTCAGTCCTTTCATCTCCAAGTCATGATTACAGATTATAAATGGTTGAGGCCCCAGCATTGATTCCTGTAGTGCTCAATTAGTTACAGTTTGCCAACCTGAAAGTGACCCATTTAGAAGGTTCACAAGATTAATTCCAGAGATGAAAGGCTTGTCTTATGAGGAGGAATTGAGAAGTTTATACTTGCTCGAGTTTAGAAGAATGAGAGATCTAATTGAGATATACAAGATGCTGAAGTGGATTGACAGAGAGACATTGAGAGGCTGTTTCCCCTTGTGGAGCAGAATAGAATGAGAGATCACAGTTTTAGGATAACGGGTGGCAGATTTAAAACAGAGATGAAGAATTATTTATTTCGAAAGGTCACAAATCTATAGAATTCACTACTTCAGAGTGCCAGGACACGGTCTATCTCCTCCTTAAATTTATTCAGATTTTTCATTCGTGCTGAGTTGAAGGGTGATGGGGAGCGTTGAGGAAAGTGGAGTTAAGGCCAAAGTGAAATCAGACATGACTGTGTTGAATGGCAGAGCAGGCTCATGGGCTGAATTGCTTACTCCTGCTGCGTGTTCTTATGTTTTGATTCGATTTATTTATTGTCACGCGTATTTATTACAAATACAGTGAAAAGTGTTTAGAGTTGCCACTCTCCAGCGCCATCTTAAAACACAGAAAACAAACCGAAACGCAGAATATAAAGCCAGAAAAATAAAACAATAAAGTTCATCTTAAAGACTTATCACAATAAAGTTATTTATCCATACTCCATGTTGCCTGCAACTTATCCATCCTCTATTCATGTTAATATGTCACCCCAAAATCAAGAATGTCTTATCTTCTGCAGTAACTTTGTTTTATCAGCTCCTTATCGGTGACCTTCTGGAAATCCAAATTTATTGTATCCCCTTTCTCCACCTTGCTTGTTATACCCTCATAGATCAGAATCCCTACAGTGTGGAAACAGGCCATTCAGCCCATCGAGTCCACACCAACCCTCTGAAGAGCATCCTACCCATACCCAGCGCCCCCTACCCTATCCCACTAACCCAACATTTCCCATGGCTAATCCACCTAGCCTGCACAGCCCTGGGCACGATGGGGAATTTAGCATGGCCAATCCACCTAACCTGCACATCTTTGGACTGTGGGAGGAAACCGGAGCACCCGGAGGAAACCCACGCAGACATGGGGAGAATGTGCAAACTCCACACAGACAGTCACCTGAGGGTGGAATGGAACCCAGGTCCCTGGCGCCGTGAGGGGCAGCAGTGCTTACCACTGAGCCACTGTGTTACTAATATCATGCCAATACCTAATAAATTTGTCAAAAGTAATTTCCTCTATCACAAAACCGGTGCCTCAATGAATCCAAATCTGGTTATATGATGATTTTCTCAATATCCTACTACTACCTAATTAATCATAGATTCTAGCATTGTCCCAATGACAGGTTTTAGACGAGCTGGCCTAACACTTCCTGATTTCTATCCACCTCCTTTACTGAATAGTAGTTTGACATTTGCAGTTTTCCAATCTGCCTGCACCTTTCCAGAATCAAGAGAATTTTAAAAGATTAAAATCAGGTTGGGATTACCTTTGACCAGAAGGTCAACTAGCCCGATAAATACCGTGGCTACAACAACGGGTCAGAGGCAAGTGATTCTCAGTCTCGTGTTGACTCCTGAAAGCCTATCCACGATCTACAAGGACACAAATCAGGAATGTGATGGAATACTCCTCACTTGCCTGGATGAATGCAGCTCCAACAACACTCAAGCAGCTTGATGCCATCCAGGACAAAGCAACTCACTTGATTGAACCACCTTCAGATTCATTCCCTTCACCAGACGCACACAGTAGCAACAGTGTTACCATGTGCAAGATACAGTACAGAAATTCACCAAAGCTCTTTAGACAACACCTTCCAAACACACGACCTCAATGATCTAGAAGGACGAGGGCAGCAGATACATGGGAACACCATCGTTCCCCTCCAAATCACTCACCATCCTGACCTGGAACTGTATTGCCATTCCTTCACTGTCACTGGGTCAAACTCTCAGTGGGTGTTCCTACTGCAGCAGTACAAGAAGGCAACTCATCATGGCCTTTTTCCATGGCAATAGGGAGAGGCTGAATGGTCTGGGGCTATTTTCCCTGAAGCACTGGAGGCTGAGGGGTGACCTTATAGAAATTTATAAAATCATGAGGGACATGGATAGGGCGACTAATCAAGATCTTTTCCCCCGGGTAGGAGAGTCCAAATTTAGAGGGTATAGGTTTAAGGTGAGAGAGGAAAGATGTAAAAGGGACCTAAGAGGCAACTTTTTCACGGAGAGGATGGTGTGTGTATGGAAAGAGCTGCCAGAGGAAGTGGTGGAGGCTGGTACAGTTACAACATTTAAAAGCCATCTGGATGGGTATATGAATAGGAGAGGTTTAGAGCAATAAGGGCCAAATGTTGGCAAATGGGACTAGATTAGGATAGATTAGGATATTAGATCTGGTCGATATGGACAGGTTGGTCTGAAGGCTGTGTTTCCATGCCGTACAGCTCAATGATCCTATGACTGTAGTTAGGGATGTGTCATAAACGATGGCACAACCTACAAAACTCACATGCAATGGACAAATAAAAATAAACACTTTCCAACAAAATTTGGATGAAACAGAGGAGGTGCTATTGCCCTAATCCTCTGAACTGCAGTGGCGTACACCCAGATAGGAGCTGTTGTGCAGGGTGTTGCTCTGTTTTTGCACTGTGCTGCTGTCTGCTGAGGGATTTGCTGTGTGACTTATGCCAGAGTATCACTCTAGGGCAAAAGTTACCTTGGTCAGTCTTGAACCTGTGTTCTCAGCGTTTTTCTTCACCACATTGACCCCTAATTCTGCAAGGTATTTCCTTCATAAACTGTAGCCTATATTTAATATCCCAAAGATGGCGCACTTAACATTGTATAAACATTTTACTGTTCAATTTACCAAGCACAGCTTTAATTTTTCTTTTCCAGATGTTTGTTGCTCTTCTATTCTGGTATCAATTCTTCTGTGGATTCTCAGGATCAGCCATGATAGACCAGTGGTACCTTATCTTCTTTAACCTTCTATTTTCATCGATCCCACAACTCATCACTGGAATACTTGATAAGGATGTTTCAGCAGGAACCTTGTTGACCTTACCTCAACTTTACAAAAGTGGACAGCATTCAGAGGTAATGCTCTCTGGGAGAATAAAGTGCTAGATGTTAAACGGAAAAATACTTCCGAAATTCAACAAGCTGTTGGTCACGTTATTTGTAACAGAATATTCTCAAAAAAACCAATCAGAATTGATTCTTCTGTAATACTGTAAGACAAAGAACTGCAGATGCTATTAATCTGATGCACACTGATGTCACTGGCAATATCTGTGGGGAGAAAATGGAGTTAATATTTTGAGTCTGGTGACTCTTCTTTAGAATAGATTCTTCTGTATTCTAGTTACATGTCGAAATGTTAGATCATTACTTCTTAGTACTGTAGGTTCTGTTAAGTGGAGTGTTTAGGTAGTTTCAGATTTAGTCTTTAAACTAGTTTTGAAAGGGCAAACTGGGGATTCAGGTGCATAACTCTTTAAAATGCCACAGAAAATAGTCAAAGGCTCATGTTGGCCTTCAAATCTAAAGGGCTGGAGTACGGGGAGGCAGGAGTTACACTGCAATAATACAAAACCCTAGTTAGACCCCACTTAGAGTACTGTGAGCAGATCTGCGCACCACACCTTCCCTTGGATGGAGTTCAAGGTTCACAAGGATGATACCTGGACTTCAGGGATTACATTATGAGGAGAGATTCGACAAATTAGGCCTTTATTCTCTAGAATTTAGACAGTTAAGTGATGATTTACGTGAGGTCTTCAGGATATTAACAGGAAAAGACAGGGTAGATAAACTACTTCCACTGATTGAAGATTCTAGAACCAGATGGTATTGTCTAAGAATTAGGGCCAGGCCATTCAGGAGAGACGTTAGAAAGCACTTTAACGCACAAGAGTAGTGTAGGTTTGGAACTCTCTTCTTCAAATGAAGTTGTTGCTAATTCAGTTGTTAAATTTAAATCTGAGATAAACAAATTTTGATGAATTAAGGGCTTCAAGTGATATAGGCCCGAGGCAGGCATATGGAGTTAGTCCACAGATCAGCCATTGAATGATAGAACAGGTTCAAGGGGCTGCATGGCCTACTCCTGTTCCTATGTTCCTCATCCTTAATTTGTGCTGAATTAGCTGGTTATCAGCTGAGACCTCAGGGCATCAGTGTCTCTAACCAAGTCAATGCCAGCAAAAACTCAGGCTCCATCTAAAAATTTGTCTACAATATCTCTATTATCTTGCTTCTGAGTCATTTATATATATTGTAAACAGTTGTGGTTCAGCACTGTTCCCTGTGGAACCACAATGGTCACAGGTCACCAAACTGAAAGCATACCCCTTATCCCAACTCACTGTTTCCAGCCCATTAGCCAATTCTTTATACACACCAATATACTATTTCCAACCACCATGGTCTTTTATCTTTTGACTTAACCTTCCATGAGGTACCTTGTTGAATACCTTCTCGAAGTTCAAATTTAACATATCTATTGGTTCCCCTCTATCCACTCTGGTTGAGACTTCTCGAAAAGCTGTAATGAATTAGTCAGGTACAATTTCCTTTTCATGAAGCCATGCTGACTCTGTTTGATAAGGTTATAATATTCCAAAGGTGCTGCTATTACTTCCTCAATAACTGATTTCAACATTTTTCCAATACGAAGTATTAGGCTAATTGGCCTATTGTTACCCACTGTTTTCCTCCCGCTGTTTTTGAATGGGGGTGCCGTAATGGGGCAATTTACCATTTCTCCAATACTTTTCCAGAGTCCAAGGATTTTTGAAAAATTACAGCCAATGCATCCATTATGTCTGTAGCTACTACTTTTAGGATTCTAGGAAGCAAGCCATCGGGGTCAGGGGACTTATCTACCTTTAACTTCATTAGTTTGTACAGTACTACTTCTCTAGTGATGGTGATGGCACTTAAGTCCTTCCCATATTCTTTAGCATGAAGGGATGTTTGAAATAACTATAAAGGATGATGCAAAATATCTGTTTAACTCCTGTTCCATTTCCATGTTCCCATAACTATCTCCCCACATTCATTTTCTAAGGGGCCTATGTTCAAATTGACCTCTCGTTCCTTTTTTATATATTTAAAGAAGCTCTTATTGCCAGTTTTTATATTCCTCACTAATTTATCCTCGTAATTTATCTTCCATCTTCATTATCCTTCTGTGCTGGATTCTGAATTTATCCCAGTCTTTGGGGCTATCAGTAACTTTTGCCTCCTTTTTCTTTCACCTTAATTGAGGCTCTGCTTAACTTCTTTGGTTAGCCATGGTTAGTTTGAGCCTCTTTTGAAATCTTTCCCCCTTACTGGGATACATTTTTGCTGAGAGTCATGGATTACCTCCTTAAATGTCTGTCACTGCTTGCTTACTGTCTTTCCTGCTAATCTGTCTGCCCAGTTCACTTTAGCTATCCATATTCTCATTATAATTCTCTTTATTTAAGTTAAACAAGGTTATTTCTGACCCAAGTTCAATCATTTTAGGGCCTAAACTCTCCCATGCCCCATATCTCCCGCACCCCACACACCAGTCCTTGTTACCACATAGCCTGCCATTACACACTACCTGTTGTTAGTCACTAATATTCCACATTAACAACTATTCACCCTCCCAGCCTGATCATTATCAACTCTCTGTCCAACTGCTCTTCTCTGTCTTTAGGCTGTATCCTATATTTTACTCCCTACCCCATTCCCCTCCCCTTTTTTCTGCACATAAACTGACGTTTTCCCAGCCATCATCAGTTCTGAGGAAGGGTCACCGGACCCGAAACGTTAATTCTGTTTTTTCCCTTCACAGATGCTGCCAGACCTGCTGGGCTCTTCCAACAACTTCTGTTTTTGTTTCTCCCTCTCAAACTATCATTTATGATCACTGCTTCCTTTTACTCTGAGGTCATCTATTAAAATGGTCTCATTACACATCCAAATCCAATACAGTTAGCTTCCTGATATAATGCTCTAGGAAACCATCCCTAATGCATTCTAAGAACTTGTTGCTGTAGGTACCCTTTCCAACTTGATTAACCCAATTGGCATGAATTATTGTTCCATAATTATTGCTCTATTCTTTTTACATGCTCCTATAATTTGTTGATTTATCGTCTTTCCCACAGTGTGGCTGCAGTTTGTGGGTCTATATATTACTCTTCTCAATGTTTTCCCTCCCTTGCTGTTTCATAAGGACATAAGAACTAAGAGCAGGAGTAGGCCATCCGGCCCCTCGAGCCTGCCCCACCATTTAATAAGATCATGGCTGATCTTTTTGAGACTCAGCTCCACTTTCCCACCCACTCACCATAACCCTTAATTCCTTTACTGTTCAAAAATTTATCGAGCCTTGCCTTAAAAACATTCAGCAAGGTAGCTTCAACCGCTTCACTGGGCAGGGAATTCCACAGATTCACAACCCTTTGGGTGAAGAAGTTCCTCCTGACCTCAATCCTACATCTGCTTCCCTTTATTTTGAGGCTATGCCCCCTAGTCCTAGTTTCACCTGCTAGTGGAAACAACCTCCCTACCTCCACCTTATCCATTCCCTTCGTAATCTTATATGTTTCTATAAGATCTCCCCTCATTCTTCTGAATTCCAATGAATATAATCCCAGCCTACTCAGTGTCTCCTCATAATCCAACCCTCTCAACTCTGGAATCAACTGAGTGAATCTCCTCTGCACTCCCTTCAGTGCTAGTATATCCCTTCTCAAGTAAGGAGACCAAAACTGCACACAGTACTCCAGGTGTGGCCTCACCAGGACCCTATACAGCTGCAGCATAGCCTCCCTGTTTTTAAACTCCAACCCTCTAGCAATGACAGACAAAATTCCATTTACCTTTTTTATTACCTGCTGCACCTGCAATCCTACTTTTAGCGATTCATGTACAAGGACACCCAAGGCCCTCTGCACAGCAGCGTGCTGCAATTTTTTACCTGTACTCAAATGGATTCTACATCGTCGGAGTCTAGGTCATCTCTCACAGCTGTTCGCGTTTCATCTGTTATTAACAGTACCACCCTTCACCTTCCCTCCTGTCTTTCTGAAAGGTCAAATATCCCTGCATGCTAAATTCCCAGTTTTGATTTCCTTGTAACCATGTTTCCATAATGGCTACAAGATCATATCCATTTACGTCAAGTTGGAGGAAATGGTATCTAAGCTCAAGCAGGAGGAGTGAACGTACTAGCATGGAAATATATTGTGTAAGACACTTATTAGACCTCATCTGGAGTCTTGTGTGCAGTTCTGTGCACCACATTTTAGAAAGGATGTGAACCCATTGGAGAGAATGCAGAGGCAGATTACAACAATGAGAAGCTTCCATTATGAGGATAGATCGAAGAAGTTGGGTCTGCTCTCATTGGAGAGAAGGTGGCTGAAAGGAGATTTGATGGAGGTTTTCAAAATCATGAGCGAGCTGGATAGAGTGGATAGGGTGAAGCTGTTCCCTCTCATAAAAGGAACAAGAGGGCAAATATTAAAGTGATCTGTACAAGAAACAAGGATGAAGTGAGGAAAAGTTTTTTCACGCAGCAAGTCGTTAGGATATGGAATGCGCTGCCTGGAGATGTGGCAGGGGCATGTTCAATTGAGGCACTCAGGAGGGCATTGGATGATTATTTGATTGAAACTAACGCGCAAGGATATGACAAAAAAGCAAGAGAATGGTCCTAGGTAATAATGCTCAATTAAAGAGCTGAAGCAGACATGATGGGCTGAATAGCCTCCTTCTGTGCCACGAAACTTTGTGATTCAGTGATTCCGTGGCACCATGGCCCTGTACCATTTGGGGAAGGAAAAAGTAAAATATATTTGTGGAAAAGCTTGAGTGCTATTCCAACTTGACATATCTGTGTTTTAAATGAGCGGTTTTACACACACTTGGAACCCCGTTCGAAGTAAGGATAACATGAAGAAATGTTGGCAGCCAAATTGATCTACTTGATTGGCAGAACAGGTTTGAGGAGCTGAATGACCTACTCCAGTTTCTAAGTTCCAAAGTCGTTGCAAAAAGCAATAGTGACGGTCATTTCCTCTAACTTCCCAGTCATCATGTCAAAAACTTTGTGCAGCAAAATATTCCACAGCATTGAAGAGCAGTGTACTGTCACATGTACCAGTGGAGGAATTATGATTTATTCTGAACGAGTTGTATTGAAGTACAGCTGACAGTGGTGTTAGTTTTCATTGTTTTGTTAACTTAAATAGAACATCTGTGCTTAGCTTTTAGTTTGAAGTTTGTGCACAATCCCTCCATTTCATTAAGCGGCCCTCGAGGACAGGTAATAGATCTTGTTGGCATGACCTTTTGTACAGATGGAGCTCTGAATTTCCCCACCCCACCCCGGTATCTGCTTAGGACAGTACAGAACCAAATTGCGCACAATTCCATGTATTGCAAACATCTTCCTCAGCACAGTTAAGCTTTTATTCATCCTGCCGCTCACAAGCCTCTTGATTCCTATTCCTGGTGCTGGTAAGTTCAGAATTCCACCTTCAGCTAAATGAGGTAGTTGAGTTTGGTTCTTGATTCTACAAAACACATTCTGCCCGTGAAGAACACCGCATCTAAAGATCTGTGATCCAATGCTTTTGTTTTTTTACCCCAAAGCTGAACGCTGTTCTCAGATCTCAGCTTGTTGGGTTGTGACGCAGGCAACAGTAAGGTATTTTTTCAACTTTTTCAGAGTCCAGCACCCAACGAAATGTTTTCACAATCATTTTCACACGATAGCGAACACTTGTCTATTTCCTCAACTGTTCACTTATAGATAAACTCGGCATAATGTGTACGAAACCACACGGAGTAGAGTGGACTTTAAAAGAGCAGATTTCTTTATAGACCGAGCTGTCGCACACTAATATTTGTTGGTTCCATCTGCATTAATAGCATGGCATATTCTGCATGAAATCAACCTTTTTATTATTTTGCTGTTCTAGGAATACAAGCCATACATGTTCTGGATGAACATGATTGACGCTCTCTACCAAAGTCTGATCTGCTTCTTCTTTCCCTATTTGGTGAGTCAGTTTTCTTTTTTGGCTCTACCAAGTTTAAGTAAATTTATTACTTTTTAAGCAAAAATCACAGGTGGCTTTGAAATGTGTTTTTATTTCTCCGTTGCAGGCTTACCGGGATTCTGATATTGATGTTTTTGCTTGGGGAACACCCATCACCACACTGGCTCTGTTCACAATCTTAATGCACTTGTGCATTGAAACTAAGACTTGGGTAAGGAGTCATTTCGTACCTGTGTTGTCCTTTTAGATTTGATCTGCAGCTCGATGGCTCTTACAAAAGCTGTGCAACCTGTACCATTCCTCTTTGTGTTGTGTTGTCTTCTTGCGAAAAAAAGCATAGTTTTGAGTTTATTCACTGGAGAAAAAAACAATGAATCCCACTTTGCAGAACTAAGCCAATTTACCTGAGTTTGATGGCATGGGACAGTATTGCTGGCTGAGCAAAAAAAACTGCAGATAAGAACAAACGCTCAATGTGTCTCGCTATGGATCTGTTTCCAGTTATTGTTTCACAAGGAATATAGAATAGAATTTATCAGCAGAATGTCTCCAAAATAAAATTGCTGCATTGTTGCTTGTCTGAATCAAATTCATCATCATTAAGGACTTTTTAAAATGAGAGTACCTACTCACTAATGTTAAACAGGACCCTTTTGCTTCCTTTAAAGCTAGTGCAATAAGCAATTCTTGTGCGCCATCTCTATGCTTATCACCATTCTCCTTGGCTCCTGATCCTTGTGTGATAAATATTTTAAGCTTACAAAAATTTTGCTGATGGAATGCACTGTTATTTATGAGGGAGGTCAGATTTTAGGTGACTTTGAACTAACAGCTGAATTTGGCTGTATGTATCTGCAACATTTCAAGGTGGTGGAACACCATGATAAAAATAATCTGTGGTACTGGCCTCATGGTTTTACTCACGATGGGCCGAATGATATCCTTCTGTACAGTGAGATTGTCTGATATTAACTATCTCTGTGATCAGAATCTGAGCACCTCGACCAAATAGTTTCTCACCTGCAAGTGATACCTCTAGAATTCCCAAGCATCTTGCCCTGACCCTTGCTCTTTCTCATCCACATGCTGCCATTTGGTCAGCTGAAAGCCACGAGCTCCAAAATTGCCACCTTAAATCTTTGTCCCCCTCACACCCTCCATTTTAGACCTTCCTTAAAAGCTGCAACGTTGACCAAGATTTTGTTTAACCTTCCTTTGGCTTGTTGTCCATTTTATCTACACCTTTGACCTCTGGGATAGATGCATGTTATCATTGCTGTACACTATTTTGAGGCAGCTATGAACACTTTGACAAAAGAACAGGAGTTTTATGAGGAATTCTGCAAATGCAAACTGATTATAGATATAGCAGAAGTCACGTGACACCAGGTGACTTGACAAAGGAGCAGTGCTCCTAAAGCTTGTGATTTCAAATAAACTTGTTGGACTATAACCTGGTGTCGTGTGACCTCTGACTTTGTCCAGCACCGATACCTCCACATCATAGATACAGCAAGAAGGGGTGAGATTTTGCCTGTCGGAAAACCCATTCACTGAACAGAGTTACATTTGAACCTATTTAGGCCAAGACCATAGTTAAGCTTTAAGACCTTGCAGAACACGTTGGCCTTTTGTTACATGTCGCCTTTTCCTGTTCCTAAAAGACTTTATCTTCTTAGGTCAAGATGAGTTTGAAAATCAGGTTCTTTGGGCTCACACATTGGACAGTAAACAAGAATAGAAGGTGACTTTTGTAGAATAGAGCTAATATATTTAGAACTTCTGTTAAGCTGTCTAAAACATCAAACTGTGAATAAATGTCTGTTATTTGTTTATCAGTTGCTTAAGACTGAAACGGTTCAGTATGTGAAAAGGATCAAGTTGCTTTCTTTGATGTTTTCAGACTTGGATGCATGTTGCCTCCATAACTTTCAGCATCCTGCTGTTCTTCACTGTTGCATTAAGTTATAATGCAGCCTGTCCTACCTGCTACCCTCCATCCAATCCCTACTGGACCATGCAGAGGTTGATGACAGATCCCAAGTTCTATCTGATTTGTATTCTTACGCCAGTGGCAGCCTTACTACCGAGGTAAGTCAAATATGGATTGTGAGGATATTATCCAATTGAAATGACACAGACTGGGAACCAACCCAGTGAACATGCTGCTGAATAGACTGGAATAGCCACTGGGAATGGGGTTGAAGTGGGAGGCGACTGGTGGAGGAGCTCTGCCAGACTGCTCCCTGAAGTATTCTGTTTGCTACTTCCTGCATGTTTTCCAAAGGGACAAGTAGGACTGCAGACCAAATGCCCCATCCACAGATTTAGGCAGCTGGTTCAAAGGTTTTAAGCCCCATTTTAGGGCAAGTCAAGCCCGTTGTTGTTTGTGCTGGTGCAGAGTGCTCCGTGCATATTGGAGATGTCCTCCCTGGGGCAGGTTGGGAGGGGGAGCCAGAAGCTTCACCTGCATCATCAATGTTGTTTAACATCTTCAGAGGCACCTCCCCAAGGGGCACCCTCCTGGTCAGCGGCCTGCCCAGCTCTCCCTCTGATTGAAGGTGTAGAGCTGGATGAACACAGCAGGCCAAGCAGCATCAGAGGAGCAGGAAGGCTGACGTTTCGGGCCTAGACCCTTTTACTACCAAGATCAGTAATGAGAGTTGTGAAGTTTCTTTGATATAGAGTGCCCCTTTACACATTATTTTCACTCTGGGGAAGTGGTGGGGTAGAATAAGGTCTCTCTCCTAGAAAACAGATTGGAGGGGGCCAGAGATGGGCTAGGTATTGAGATGGTAGATTAAAAAGGTCTGCCTCAGTTCTCTGGGAATTTGTTCCAATTTGGTTACATTTTAGGCTTTCTACCCCTCTCCCTAATCATCCTTCTCTAACTACTCCCCATAGTACCTCCAGGCCTCATGACAACTCAGTGCCAATTCATGCCTTCCACCCACCCCTCATGGCCCCTTATACCCTCCATAGCAAATCAAAATGCTGCTGTGCCCATTTGCCCAGTATATACTAATACAGAAACAAGAATATGGTAGAAATGGTGCGAGTAAAACTCCTTCACACATATTCATATTTGTTTTAAAAAAAGTGTTCCTACCATCCTTTCCATTCTATTTGACATAATAAAAGTTTTAGGAATTTGTAGGAATTTGACACTTAGACAACGACAAAGGCAATGCCATCATAGTCCCAGAGCATCGTGGGCCTGCTCTCTCATTCAAGGGAGACAGAGAGATGGTGAGTTTAATCTGAGGATCACCACCCCTCAGGTAAGGGGAGAGGTTGAGAAGGAGGGATCTTCATGGTAATCTCAAGGTTTGTAATTGAACCCGCGCTGTTGGTGTCACTCTGAATTGAAAATTAGCCATCCAGGCAACCAACACCCTGACATTGACAAAAGAGAATGGAGAATAAAAACTGAATATAATCTCGTAGAAATGTCTATCAAATGAAGTCTACAATTCTCTGCACCCATGTAAACAAATTCACTCACATAGCCTTTTATAAGAATCTGACACTCAGCTAAGAAATCTTTATTATACCAGTACATGTAAATTTTGCGATTATTTTGATAATTGTTTCCCTCACAGCATCTTCCAACTCCCTAACTCTACTGCCTGGAAAGACTGCCTCCATCCTGAAAGGAAACTATATCACTATCCTGCAACGTTGCTGTGTCAGAAATCTGGAACTCTATTTCCAACAGCACTGTGGGTTTTCCAACCCCAGATTGATCAAGACGTTTTGAGAATGCATTCTACTATCACCTTCCCCAGTTAGGGATGGGCAATACATGTTGGCATTTTCAGCAATGTTCACAACTTCTGAAAGAATAAAGTACATTTTTCAGAAAATCAAGTCCATTGGTGGTGCTATTTTTAAGGAGAAACACATTTAGGCTTTAAGTTCTTTTATGAAAATCATTGTTTTATTTTAAGTCCACAGAATCATAGAATCCCTGCAGTGCAGAAAGAGGACATTTGGCTCAAAGAGCATCCCACTTAGACCCATCCCTCCAACCTATCCCTGTAACCCTACATTTGCCATGACTAATCCAATAGCCTGCACATCCCTGTACACCATAGGGAAATTTAGCATGGCCAATCCACCTAACCTGCACATGTTTGTACTTTAGATCTTTAAATTGTGAGTACGAACAAAGCACATCAGTTGTATTCATGACTCCCTTTGAAATGAAGATAAATTTAAAAAAGCAATTCAAAATAGTTAACTCAAAGAATGCACCAACATTCACCCAGTGACTTGTTTTCAAATTATTTATAAGAATGTTATTAGTTATAGAAAGATGAGCTTCTTATTACACTGTGAATGATGCAGTTGCATGCCAAGAACTTGTCTATACTGTCTGGGCACACTAGACAATGTGACAATGGAAATTGCAAGTATTTGTGCAGTTACTAACTTCCTTTAGCTAAAAAGCTTTTGAAAGGGTCTATGGGCTCCCAGTAAAAAAAATAAAAACATAGAAGACAATTTTGTAGGTGGGATGAATTTAAAGAATGTATATTTCATTATATTTTATCTTTTGTATTGATTGAGCACTAGATAATTTGACAATTAGAAATAACACATGAAAGATTTTGTAAAAAATTGAGTCATTCATTCAAAACCTCTGCTTTTTAAATTGGTTTTATTTTATCATTTGTCAAAGTTAAGTTTTATTTATTAATTTTTGAAGGATTGTGAATTTTTTTCAATGATATGTATGTAGTTCAGTTTCAGCTTTCTGCAATTTATGCAGTTATGTCATTGTACACAATTAACATTCTGATTTATCAGCCTGGGTTTTAATCCTTCAGGTAGATAATAGAAAGTAGAACTATTCTCACCTGCTTAAGAAGAAAGTCTGAGGAAAGACACAATCATCACTGTCGAGTGAAAGCAACATTTGGGCCAACTAGCCAGGAAAAAGAGGTCAGAGGCAGACACAGGGTTTCCATGTGCTGAGGCTGCCAGTTTAGAAGGCCTGTCTCAATGCTGCGTTTCTTCACCCAGTATCTCACTACCTCATACTCCCATGCCTCACACATACACTCCATTTTCCATTCATGCCCCCTCAAGATCCCATGTCACTTATTTGAAGTATTTATAATGAAGTTTGGCTAAATGCACAGGTATCCATTACTTTGT